AGTTGGGGCCTTTTCCTTCCAACTGTGTGTCCTGGTATTAATTCTTGCGACACCTCCTTTCCCTCAGCAACTGCAAAGTCCCTTGGCTTGAGCTATTTATTTTATTAAACTCTTTCTTGCCTCTAATATGTCATGACTTAACTACTGTCACTGCTTCTGATACACTATAATCTAGATAATGTGGGTTCATCTGTAAGGGGGTTTATTTGTGCACAGTTCTGCCTTAGGGCAGGGAGCTGGACTGGATGACTTTCATGTGCCTTTGAGCCTTACAATTTGAGCCCTATAATTCTTTGCAATAGAAAGCAACAGACAAACATATAACTGTAATCCAAATCATTGATTCACACACATGCACACACGCACATTTTTTGGATATAGGTTTTCTTGACCTGGAGCTACCATGCGATGTTGTCTTCTCTTATGTGGTTTTTATACATTTATTAAGTCATCCCCATGGATACTATACTAATAAATTTCTAAAGGAATGTGGCTGTATCATTGTCATGTAAATTTATATACATAGGCATTAATTTTCCAAAACTAGTGTCCTCTTATCCACCCTTAATACATTTCCATCCCACACAATTTTGTTGTTGCTAAGCATTGCACTTAGATGTAATTGGTTAGTTAGTTGAAAGTAGTGCAGCCAATTAACATGTGACAATATACCTAAAATAATGCTTTCTTGAGCTACAAAATTAAATAAATATTTCACATTACCTGTATATGTTAAAGAAGTATGTCTTAGTATGTTTTAGGTATATACAGTGCACACAAGCAACAATAGTGTTATATTTCTTAAATATTAACCTGCAAAGGTCTGTAGGCTCAATACACAAGTCCTGTTGAAATGTATAGCAGCCACAAATGAACATGAAATTCGTCTTTTATTTCAATGGGGTCTGAACAGAAGAATTTCCTAGCAGGTTGCGCCCATCACTTGTTCTAAGTTATAATATATAATCATTAATATAATTATTAAAAACAATAGAATGAGAATATTATTTAAATTGGTTTCTGAACCATGCCTTGGTTCAGAATGGGCACGCTCTGAGTTTCTGAAGGCCAAATTTAGGATTTTAAGCAGGCTGCATGGCTGCCATTTATTAAAGCAATTTTTGTTGCTTTGTTGCCTAAGGGAGGAGGTGAACCTGAAACAACATTCTGGAGCCAAAGTGCACTACCAAGATGTTTTTGTTGTTGTTGTTTACCAATATGAGTGGTTTTGGGGGGCAATTTTTAAAAAGGAAATTGGAGTGGCCTCTTGGGTCCTGGGAAAGTAAGAGCTCCTGAGGACACCCCTCCTGAAAGGGCTGCATGTGGCCCATTGACTGTACAACTTCCATCACTGGCTTAAAAGGAATTTTAAGTCAAACAAACCATCACCAAAAAATCCTGCTAATTCAAATTTAAAATTTGGCTCCATTTTCCTTCTTGCTAATGCCTCCTGCTAGCTTCTGACTCATTCTCAGAAACAAATTGGATGGACTGGCATCGTCTTCTCTGTAAAACACATTCCTTTTCATAAGCTTCAAATAAGGGAGATGTTTTCATGCCTGAATATGCCTAGGCACCCAAAATCTAATTATATTGCTACTGTTAGCAAGGGGAAAACATTTTAAGAGTCAGAGCTTTAAAGAGGGTTTTTGTTTGGTTTTGTTGGCATTTTAACCTTTAGCTGAATAGCTAGAATTTACCATAATTTTGCAGTCCTTACAAATAGAGACTGGCATTTATTCAGGAGTGGACTAATTATATTCAATGGCTGTACTTGATTTAAAAGTTACAGAAACAGCCCTTTAATGGAAGAAATTAAATTTCCAGTTACAATATATTAGTCAGCATTCAGGTGTAATCCATTCCTTTCATCACAGAAAACAAATGTTAAAAGGGAGG